CTACCACCGTCAACGTCCACCACCACCCTTCACCACCACCCTCCACCACCACCACAATCGTCCATACACCACCACCGTACACTACCACCATTAATTTATATAGCAGTCTACAGACATTAAAAAACAAACAGTCTTCTTCTTGCAGACCGCAGACCTTTGGTCCACCACTTCTCCTGCAAATGTCTACAGTAGTGGTCCGCAGACTGCAGACCTTTTCCTGCAGAAAAAACAAACACCCCCTAAAAGTCTTCATTGAAAATAGGCCTCCTCTGATGGATCAAAACCATCAACACTTGAATTGTTGTCCGGTTGCCAAGCCCACCGCAATTCCAATTAAAAATATTCATTGGTTTCGGCGGACCTCCCGCTTCCAACAAGTCTTTTGACCCAAATGTTTCCACTTCTATCCCTTCACTACTAAGGCCCAAACTAATAGTGTCCTATTCCGCCATATGCATCCTTTTGATATCCATAAGGGTCTGTTTGGTATACAAAATTGATGAAATTAGAATCGAATAGTAATTGAAATTCTATGGGATTCAATTTCATAGAATTGAATTCATCAATTCCAATTCATTTTTTGCACTGTCAATTCCAAATTCACATAATTTTTGTGCTACTGAACACAAAAATTAGAATTGAAGTCCTCAATTCCAATTTCATAGTTTGAACTCCGTGTACTAAAACGGGGCCTAAGGGTGAAATTAGTTGTGGAAGTGGGTTGGAAATTAGAATTGCTTATCACAATAGTAAGTAGGGCTGGGTCGGGAAAACCGAAAACCGAAAATCGAACCAAAATCGATCGAAATGAGCTAGAAAAAAAACCGAACCGAAAAAACCGAAACCGAATGTAAAAAAACCGAACCGAACCGTTATTGTTTGGTTCCGTTTTGGTTTTTACTTTGAAAAACCGAACCGAACCGAATAAACCGAACTTATTTATATGCTTCTTTTTTATTTATATGAGTATATGTGATATGCATAAAAATCATATAAACAAAAATGCAAATATATTACTAGTCGATTAAAATTTTTTTCTTAACTATTAATTAAACATTTAAACCATATTATAAACTTTAAAAAATCTAAGAATATAAAAACCAATAACTAATCCTAATATATAATTATATAACATTAAAAATTAATATGAGTAGTTAACATATTTACATAAAAAAAAACTTTGATGTTATAATGCAAATGAAAGTATTATATCAAAAAAACATAAAATCTCTATAGTTGATTTTGCATACGATATCTTTAGGATCATTTAGAATCTCCTAGATGTTTGTTAGGCACTTGACACGTACTTTGTATGTAAAATTGAACCGAATAGAACACTAACCTTTCGTTCTGCTTTTTTTAGTAAAATTCAAGCAAAAAAACCAAACCCAAACTTACGTATTGTTATTGCTTCGTTGAGTTAGTATTTATACAATTTTTAATGCTTATAATTATTTACTTTTATAAACCGAAAAAACCGAAAAAAACCAAAATAAAAACCGCTTAAAACCGAACCGAATAACCAGCGGTTTACATATTTTTTATGTAAAACCGAACCGAACCAAACCGCCAACTTACCTTCCGTTTTGTCTTTGGTTTTGGGTAAAAACCGAACCGCCAAAACGGAACCCACCCTAATAGTAAGCCTTACCACCGTAGTAATACGAAGGGTTCACCTAAAATGCCATACCATTCAACATTTAACCTGCAACCTCGCACTCTTGTATCCAAACGAGTCTTGAGGAGCGCAGATAAGATCCGGGAAGACCAGGCTGTTTCAGTTAGGCGGTTCGTTTCCTTCTTCTCGAGTCATTTCCCCTGCTCCATCATCATCCACCCTTTTTCCTACCTGCAACTTCATCCATGTTATCTTTACCCATTCAGTGCTGCTCTGTTCACGCTCCATTACTCAGCCTCTTCTTCTCCCTGACCCCAAGGCACCACTCACCTTCCCACCTTCGTCTTCCTTGCTCCAACATATCTGTGCGCGCCGCCCGTACTGGCGTCTCACTGTTGCTGGAAAATGAAGAGACTCCCAAGCACCAGCTGCGAACGCTCTTTCCCGGCGGCTTCAAGCGCCCGGAAATCAAAGTTCCCAATCTCGTGCTCCAGCTGAACGCCCGAGATCTTCTCTACGATGAAACCGCTCTTGATAAGATAGACAATGGCGTATCATCTCGGGTCGGCATTGTTTTGCTCAGTGGAGGTGGGATGACCGACGGGAGATTGTACGAGGCTGCTTGCTTGTTGAAGTCTGTCATCCGGGAAAGAGCCTACTTATTGGTTGATGAACGCGTTGATATTGCAGCGGCAGTTAATGCCAGTGGAGTTTTGCTCTCAGATCAAGGTTATTTCATTTACCTTCCACAGTACATGCTTAGAACAATGATTTGAATTTTTTTTTTTAAATTTATTATCTTTGAATTAGTGATAATCCAGATCACAATTGACCTATTTGGGTATTGGTAAAAAATCAGGTCTCCCTACCATTGTGGCTAGGAATACAATGCTGGATGCAAAGTCCAAGTCAGTAGTTCTCCCTTTGGTCGCAAGACTTGTACAAACACCAAAGGCTGCACTTCAAGCATCTGATTCTGAAGGGGCTGACTTTATTATATATAATGTTGGAGATAATAATAGATCAGATGAGGTGGTCAGTTCCGTCTTTGAGACATTGAAAGTGCCAGTTTTTGTCATGCTTGATTCACTTGGAGAAGGGAAGCTATTCAATGAAGTTTCATATTTCCTTGAATTAGGAGCTAGTGGTTTGGTTATATCTATGAACGGATTGAATCTTATGAGGAATGAAGATTTTAGCCAACTGTTTTGTGGTGCTCATGCATTGGAGGAAAGATACGTGTCTCAAAAGTTTTGTTCTGTTAATGGATATCAGGGAAAGAAAGTGGTGGCCGGCTTCACCAAGTTGCGTGAGAGAGAACAACAGCTTATTGAAGCCGAGAAGCTTATCTTGCATGAAACAATAAATGCCATAAAAACAGCTACTCCGCTGGTGAGCTTTATGGTTGACATTAGTATCCGAAGTATTGCATAATATTTTTTTCCGGTTGTAACCTTGTTTATGCTAATCTGAATGACAGATGGAAGAGGTCTCACTGCTCTTTGATGCTGTCTCTCAGCTTGATGATCCATTTTTACTGGTTATAGTGGTAATTGTGAGCTTAACTTCAGGAAATTATGGTTCCAGGGACATGCATGGGTATTATATAAATTTCAAATTGCTAGACTTCATTCTTTGAATTATTATTTCTGCACTTTAAGATAGCGCCCATTGCCAATGGATCTAAAAGAGTCACCATTGACAATGCTTTATCTTCAGGTACATAATGGGCTAAAATAAAATGACACATTAAACTTGTTGCTTCTTACTTTTTTGAAGCTTTGGGTAGCAACATCACGGGTCTAGCTTAAATACTCTCTCTGTAAAATCGACGTTTATCAATGCTCTTCAACTTTTATAATCTTGTTTGTTAGCTTATGTGTTGGAAGCAAAAGTGCTGATTATTGTGTTACATTGGTTGCTTGAGTGCAATAAACATGGAGTGGTGGGGTGTGGAGTTTGGGGGNAGCTGCTTCTGTGACTGTCATCATCTCATCTTCCTCCCTCCCCCACCATATTTTCAGATGAGTGTAGATGCACATTAATTTTCTTTACACATTACAGGGAGAGTTCAACTCTGGAAAATCAACTTTTATCAATGCTCTTCTTGGAGAAAGGTACCTGAAAGAGGGTGTTGTTCCTACAACCAATGAGATCACTTCATTACGCTATTGCGAGTCAAATAATTTACAACAATGTGAAAGGAATCCAGATGGTCAATATGTATGCTATCTACCTGTACCTATTCTAAAAGAGGTAAGTTGCTTTTAAGTTTTAATATTTAAAGGCATATTGAATTTATCCTCAATGATATGTATGTGGATTATATGTATTTCTGTCCCAAAATTAGTACTCCGTATGCAGGCTAACCTTGAGTGATGATGCTTGTGATTTTTTTGATCAGATTCTTTATACAAATTATGCCTAACTCATTTACATTAAATATGCTCCAATCTTAAACCTCAGAAAATTTTGCATCCCTGTGGAATGCCCATTCTTTCTGCCACTTTATCCCGAGGAAGATTGATTGGTGCAACTATTTCATAAATCTGTTAGCTTGTTTCTTGTGAATCACTCCCCATCATGTGTTTTATAGCTTGATACTGTATAACCTTTTACCTCCTGTTAAAATTCTTCTAGTGGGCCGATAACAACGGGTGGAGTGTCGGGTAAAATTAACCACTTGCATATAAAGTCGGGAGTCACTATTCTAACCCAAAAGTTTAAGCTGATAGGTAGGGCTTCACCCTTCTATAAATGCTAATGGTCTTCATCTTTATTTTCCGATGTGGGAACTCGAACACTGCCCCTCAAGTGATAACTAGCTTGACCTAGTTAGCACTTGGACAAACGGGTCTAGCATCTCAATCTCTTATAGCTAGCCCACACAGCGGGCAGTGACGTCTCAATCTCTTTTTAGCCAACTCAACCCACACCACGGACAGGTAGTTCTTTTTTTATTTTTGCTAAACCCACGTCAACAACCAGGAAGAATCGAACCCGGACCAGACTTGCTCCAATACCATGTTAAAATTCCGGTGGGCCAAGAACAAAAGGTGGAGTGTCGGGTAAAATTAACCACTTGTATTTAAAGTCGGGATCCACTATTCTAACCCAAAAGCTTAAGCTGATAGGTAGGGCTTCACCCTTCTGTATATGCTAGTGATCTTCATCTTTATTTTCCAACGTGGGAATTCCAACACTGCCCTTCAAGTGATAATTAGCTTGACCTAGTTAGCACTTGGACAAACGGGTCTAACATCTCAATCTCTTATAGCTAGCCCACACAACGGGCAGTGACATCTCAATTTCTTTTTCGCCAACTCAACCCAAACCACGGATGGGTAGTTCTTTTTTTTGCTAAACCCACGTCAACAACCAGGAAGAATCGAACCCGGACCGGACTTGCTCCGATACTATGTTAAAATTTTGGTGGGCCGAGAACAACGGGTGGAGTGTCGGGTAAAATTAACCACTTGCATATAAAGTCGGGATCCACTATTCTAACCCAAAAGCTTAAGCTAATAGGTAGGGCTTCACCCTTCTATATATGCTAGTGGTCTTCATCTTTATTTTCCGATGTGGGAACTCCAACACCTCCAATATCAGATTGGTTAGATCATACTCCCTTTGTCCCAAAATGAAGTTTACACTTTGACTTCACTGAGTTTTAGAAAAATGAAGTGTGGTTAAAAGTTGTTTTAAAGAGTGAAATGTTGTTAGCCACATGGCCTATATTCCTTTCTTAAAAAGGAATGAGGTAAAATGTAAACCTAATTTTTGGACAACCCATAAAGGAAAGTTTAAACTTCATTTTGGGATGGAGGGAGTATTAATTTGTATGTACTTTGAGATCATGAAAATAGTGCCTTCTGTCTAACTTTATTCAAGGAACATGAAAGTTCTTACATACTCCTTATTAAAGTTTTAATTCCATGTTGAGTAACCTCCTGGGGGGACAGCACCCAACCTAGATTGTTCCAGTTTTTTTTTTTATGTTCCATAATATTTTCTTATTGTGTTTGGCACAGATGATTATTGTTGATACTCCTGGAACTAACGTGATACTTCAACGACAACAAAGGCTGACTGAGGAATTCGTCCCTCGATCAGATTTGCTTCTTTTTGTTATGTCTGCCGATCGACCATTAACTGAAAGTGAGGTATGATGTAGTGGATACTATTAGCATTACTACATTGAACACAGTTATTAGTGAAAAAAAAAGTATTTATGAAATGACACATATAATAAGTTTAAAATTACACAGTAAGTTTGAACAGAAACCTATACTCGTGTAGTTTTATCACGGGTTAAGTAAGCCAACAAATACACAATTGCAAGTACAAATATAAAATATTGATCAGAAAAATGTACGTAGCCAAAATAGAAGAGAGAAAAAAGGGGAGCTTAGTGTAATGGAGATAGATAGATTGGCCTTGAGTAAAATAACACCCCCGCCAAATTCACTTATTTCTCATCAGGGCAAAACTGCTGCTTGCTACCAGAATCCTATGTCAGCACGTGAACTGCAACTCCCCTTTCTTTCTTGCTTTGACCTGTAACCAGAAAAATGTGAGGTGCTTTGTAGTTTTGGAATTTAGTTTGTGTTTACACGTTTCTGGAATAAATATCGTGCATCAAGATCATAATGGGGATATGGCCTTAGATGCGTATGGAGGTTTAGGATTAGAGTGGCATGATAGGCTTTTGGGCAGTACTCTACCCTTTCATAGGATTTCTCCCTTAGTTTGTTGTATCTGCATTTGTGCTTGCTCCTTTCGTGCAACTATCCTTTATCATTCCTATTTTTCAGATGTTTTAAATTGTTGCTTGTATTTTAGAGCCGGGGATCTTTTATAGCAAGGGTAAAGTTTATGCATACACTCACCTTCCTCAAACACCACTCTGTGACATTTTACTAGGTTTTTTGTTGTAATACTGGTTGTGTATCAAGCCAACTAGCATGTTATTTGAACAATGTTCCTTGAAACATGTTAGCTTTTATTCCAATATAAAGAGCCTTATTTATGCTAGATAGATGGTTTGGCCTTGAGTAAAAGATAGCCCCCAAATTAACTAATTGCTCATCAGGACAGAACTGCTCTTTGCTACCAGAATCCTATGTCATTACCAGAACTGCAAGTCCCCTTTCTTGCTTGCTTCGACCTATCACCAGACAAATGTGAGGTGTTTTGTAGTTTAGAATTTAGTTTTTGTTTACATGTTTCGCGAATATATCTCGTGCATCAAGATCATACCAGGGATATGGCCTTATTGGCGCGTCTGAAGGTCTTGGATTAGAGCGGCATGATAGGCTTTTGGGTAGTGCTCTACCCTTTCGTAGGACCCTCCCTTAGTTGTATCTGCATTTTTGCTTGCTTCTTTCACGCAACTATCCTTTGTCATTCCTTTTTTTCACATGTTTTGAAGTGTTCCTTTTATTTTGAGCTGGGGGTCTTTTGGAGTAAGGGTTAAGTCTGTGCGTACACTCTCACTCCCTAGATCCCACTCTGTGGGATTTACTGGGTTGGTTGTTGTAATCTCTGGTTGTGTTTGAAGCCAACTAGGAAGTTATTTGAACAATGTTCCTTGAATAGCTTTTATACCAATATAAAGAGCCTTAAATTTCCAACGTGGGAAGAAAGCTCATTCGTTAATTTATCATTTTCCATCCCTCTCAACTGTGGATTCTAATTATTAAATGGACTTAGTCCACACATGAAGGTTGTTTTTCAGCCATGTACATCATATGAGGGATCATGAATGAAACCCATGAATTAGAGCTATTTGTTATATTTCTAGCAATAATTTCATGCCACCAACTCCAACATAGTTGAGATTAAGGTGATGGAGATGACGACTATGATCAATAATATACTTTTGGATTATTATTGTGCCCTTAATAGTTACAAATTATTCATCCATGTTTTTTAAAGCTGTCTGAACTCTGATTGTTTTGAGGGACCTATTTCTTGTTTCCAGTGTTATATTTTTTTCTTTGGCCCCAAGCACTTATGCATATATGTTATTAACAGGTCAATTTTCTTCGTTACACTCAGCAGTGGAAGAAAAGTATCATTTTTGTGCTGAATAAATCTGACATTTACTTGAATGCGGGTGAGGTTGGTCATATGCTTTTTATGCCCTGATATTATTAGGTCAGAGGCTGCTCTTGTTGTATGAACCACTAAAATTAAGCTAAACATTGATTAAACTCAATTTAATGATTTATGCAGCAAGATGAAGCTGTCACTTTTATAAAAGAAAATATAAAGAAGGTGCTGAGTACTGAACATGTGATCCTGTACCCTGTATCTTCACGGTGCGCTCTTGAAACTAAGCTTTCAGCTTCTTCTGACATTCTGAAAGATATTAATGGCCAATCCTTGGATGAGTCTCTCTTGAAATCTGCAAGTTTCTTTGAACTTGAGAGGTACTTGTATAGCTTTCTGGATGCCTCAACAAGTACAGGAATTCAACGAATGAGACTTAAGCTTGAGACACCGGTTATCATTGCAGAGCAGCTGCTTTCATCCTGCCAAACTTTTGTGAGTGAAGAGTGTGAGATAGCAAAAAATGATTTATTGTCTGTGAATGATCTTATTGATGGTGTAAAACACTGGAACAAGAAAATGGAAAATGAAAGCTTATCCTGGAAGACGCAAATTCTCTCTGTGGTATGATCCTCATTCCACATTAATGACTGATATTCCATTATATCTTTATTCTTTAGGTATGCTTTTATCAAAACACCTCTTTCTTTTCTGTGACTTGCTGCCTTGTGAAAATTCAGATTGACACTACACAGGCACGTATAGTCCAGCTTTTAGACAATACTCTACGGATTTCAAACCTTGATCTCGTCACTGGATATGTATTTAGAGGAGAAAAAACTACTCAAATGCCAGCTACAGTAAGTGTCAAAAATGACATAATTGGTCCAGCAGCTTTTGAAGCAGAAGTGAGTGATACTCTTTTAAGTATACATTGTCTGATGTTTAATCCACTCTTGCAATTATGTTGAAGAAAAATTTGAGGGATCTGGATGCTCTTAAAGCTTAAAGTTGGATTCCTGAGGTGTTGGCTAGTGAGTTTATACTCACAAGTCACAATTAGGTTGCAGAAACAAGATTTACCATGTTTCGGTATTGTTTACTCTGGGTGATACTCTTGCCCAAGCACATTTTTGAAATCTAAACCTGTATATCTGTGTCTAGAATACTTTGGAACTTTATGAAGTTATGTACTTGCGGTGTTATGTTTAATATAGAGTACTTACTAAACATCAAGCAAGACAAGCATATAGTTTATAAGTAAAATTTCCGAAAAAACGCAATATATGTTCATATAAATCATGATTGATGGAGTCACTCCCTATTACTTTTGTTATCAAAGGGAATTGGAGTCGTTGAAAACTAGTTATTTTCTGGTGAATGTGTAGTGTATTAGGTATGTTCGTTAAGATTTTGTGGTGTGTAATTTAGGTTTTTATTAAAAAGAAAATGAGCGGATTTTAGTGGTTGAACAATGCTCATAAGCAAACACCATGTTCCATGATGTGTGTTGATTCTATAATAGTCAACTTTCAGCAAAACGGGATCTGACTATAGCCGCTATCTCAACTCATCTCATACTGTAGGGGATGCCAATGGGTCAAGTGGAATTGAAATGAATATATGGAATGGAATCGGGCCAACTGCCCTATCTTATGTTCCCGGACGTAGCTACTTTTCACAGGGGGATCAGCTGTGGAGTTGGTGCTGTATTCTCCGGCACGGTGGCCTGCAAACAGTAACATGGGAGGGGAATGCTATTGGCAGAAGGAAAACGGAAAGGATGAAGTGCTTTGGAAGGGTTGTTTTATTAGCACCATAACAATGTTTTATTAATTTTCCAAAACTCCATGATAAGATGTTTAACTATCCTTATATAGAGCCTTACACCTAACCTGCTTAGAAACGGAAAGACAAATCAAACAAAACCTACATAGAAACAGAAAGACAATTTAAAATTACTTGAGGAGAGGAGTAATTATGAAATAGGGACATAAACATATATTGCCTAATTGGGGGGTTTTCTTCTACTGCTTGTTCTTTTTTGCGGACCCCATCTGAACTCTGCCTTTTTTTTGCACCAGTTGCGTGTGAACGCATCATCCCGTGCTTTTTTTCCCCCATATGAAATGCGGATAGTGTTTTTTGGAAGTCAGCAATCTGCTATGAGAAATTTCAAGAATCTCTAGTTGCATATCCTCTTCTTGTATCCTGAGGTCTCTTATTAAGTGTGCTTTATTCATTTAGTTTATTTTTACTATTGTCAGAACTGTGTAATTTTTGTTCTCTCTGGTGCATGTTTCGTTGCACTACAATTTCCAATCACTGGAATTTCCCTTGGTACTTTGTCGACTTCTTGCTTTTAGTGAAAAAAAGATTGATGTGGGCAGAGTACATAACTGTAAGGCATATAGGTGCCTGTCTAAATAGGAATAGACTGAAGAACCTAACCCCAGTAATAAATGGCAGAAGCTGCTGGAGAGCTTCATTGAATGTGTAAAAACTCTGTGACTCTCAGCTTAATTTTTTGAAGCGATGATCATTGTTTAATATCAAAACTAAGTATTGTTAGTATTCTGATATCTGTATTTCAGAGCTTGTTCTGATCGCCATCTATGTACCAATTATATGTTCGTACATGATATTGCTTGATCTTCTGTGGAATTGTTTAAAACTGATGTATTATTGTTTCTTGAAAAACATTCAAATTTCAGAAGCTACTGGCTGAGTTCATGGCATGGTTACAGTCTAATGCGGACCATGAAAGACTATGCTACAGAGACCGTTTTGAGAAAAGATATAGCTCTTTACTTGATGCGGAAAAGCAGATTCTGGCTGATAGCTGTACATTACTTGGGAGAAAACAACTTCTAAGCTCACGTGTGATGGAAGCTTTTAGTCCGAGTGCTGCGTCAAAGCTGTTTGATCAAGAAATACGTGAAGTGGCACGTGATCATATTTTTATTTACCTTCTCACATGACTAAACTTTCCAATGCAATTGATTGCTCACTTTGTTTTATTACTATAATTTGTGCTAAAATGAATTGAAAACCCACATTTGCTCTCCAGTTCTTTGGGACTTTTGGTGGGCTCGGAGCAGCGGGTTTCTCTGCATCGGTTTTGACGTCTATTCTACCCACAACATTAGAAGATATTCTTGCTCTTGGCCTTTGTTCTGTGGCAGGGTTAGCTATTTCATTTCTCCCTCTTCCAAATCTGTTCTCCTTGATTGGCTTTGTGGTGCTGTTAGTTCTTATCCTAATCCTACTTATCTATGTCACAGCTTTTTAGCAATCTCCAATTTTCCAGCTCGTAGGCGACAGGCTGTGGATAAGGTGAAGAGAATCGCGGAGGGGTTAGCACGTGAGATTGAAGAAGCGATGCAGAAAGATGTGTTGGAGACAAGTTTGTATTTAGAGGGTTTGGTAGAACTCATCGGCAAGCCTTATCGAGAAGCAGCACAGCGGAGACTGGACAAGCTTTTGGCTACTGCCGACGAACTGACAAAAATGAAGACCAAACTGAAAGCGTTGCAAATTGAAATTTACAATCTCAATTAGGGACTCTCTGTGATTCCAGAAACAAAGGAATCATCATGTTTCCAAATGTCCCATACTACACCAGCTGTGCTGTGCTCTTTGATGGCATATCAAATGGTATTCTGAATGTTGTATAACTGCAGTTGTTGGCTGGCACTTTGCAGGCTGGCGGCTGGATGTAAACAATAATCTGTATAATAATAAACAAATATGGAGTAAAAAATAGTAATATGTTTTTTTTGTCTGTCTAATCATAGCTATTATTTTCTCTCTCTTTGCACCTTTTAAATTCCAGTTGATTGTTCCGCAAATGTGATGGAAGAAGCCACTCTGTGGTATCTTTTTTACTATCTTCCAGTGTTAGTTCTTATATTTCCCCTGTTACAATTTTGTTTTTACAGACTTTCTTTTTGAATGTTTCAACGAACACTTTCCACTCGTTTTATTTCTTTTTTTAGTCATCAACATGCGGCCCATAAAATTTCTCTTGTTTAATTATACCCCTTTTCATTGGAACCAAGCGCAACCTTTATTACTTCAAAATCGAAGTCATCTAACCAACCAAGCCGTAAATAAAACTAACTCCCTCTGCTACAACCAATGTTGGTGATTTTAGTATGATCAATTATTTAGGATAATTAGATTTACTTAGATCGGATGAAATTTTAATAGGCGTGGTTAATGAGTTCGGTGATACGGAGTGCACAATTGGTAAACGATCTTACAAATTCTATAGCTAGGGGCAATAGTCCCTTGCAGTAAACGAAATCATAAGTAAAGAACATTTGAATGGATAATATTATACATTTGAATGTTATCGATAACCAACGACACCCTTTACAAAAGGACGCATACATTCGAATGTTTTGCGATTAGACGCAATGTTTCACTACTGAATGCAATGTTTAAATAATATTTTTCGTTTACATTTGAATGTTGTGCAAATAGAGTTGTGTTGTTTCATTTCAATACATGCATCCAGTCAATTTTTTTGCTCTATATACGTCTAGTTGCCGGTAGTATTTGACATATATATAACTTCATACTCGTTCTAGATACTTACGTCTTATCCGATTGAATTATTCTGACATTATCTAAAGTAACTTTAATCAGATTCATTAAGCCCATAAAGTTTATCCAAGCTGTGTGTATACCATTCCTTATAACAATGCTACACAGTGTCTCCTTCCCTCTCAGATTTTCAATAGCCATTACTACTAGAAGGCTACAAGTTACTTCCTATTTTGTTTAGGCTTAGCAAAAAGTATAAAATTGGTAAATGCCCTCTGCTTTTGATATCCCCTTTTTCTTGCGAACCAGATAGCATATATAGCTACACGCAACGACAAGTGCAACTGTAACGCCTTGCAAACCGGCCTAATATTTAGCCAATATTTTAAATAAATAAATATTATTTATTTATTGAGACTCATTATTTTAAATAATAAATACTGAAATTTCGATATCATTAATGTTAAATATATTATTTCTATATTTAATATTATTGTATATTGGTAGCTACCATATTTGTATAGGGTGTATTAATTATAGTTTCCTATTGTCATTAGGAAACCTTTGTATATATACACACATGTAATCTCCCATAACATTAATTGGAAATTATTCATTCTACATGGTATCAGAGCCCTAATTCTCGGCTTCCGTTTCCTCCCTCTCTCTCTCGATCGGCAACCTCCCCCCACCCACCGATATGTTCTCTCTCTCCCGGCAGCCATGGCCGATGAAAACTCCTCCTCCGGCAAGGTGATCTCCACCTCCGACACCTCTTCCTCCAACAACTCCCCCCATCTCGCCTTCACCACTATATCCAACATCAAACTTCATATTCCCGTGCAACTAAGTCTTTCAGAGCCAAATTACAAAAAGTGGAGCCGCTTGTTCCGTCTCTTGATTCTTCGCTTCAATCTCAAGGGTTTCATCGACAGCACCACTCTTGCCTCCTCTGCGGATGATGCCGAATGGTATCAATTTGATGCCCTAATTCAAGGATGGCTCTTGTCCACAATCACGGATGAGGTTTCCGATCTCGTTCTTGCCAATAATCTCTCCGCTCATGCACTATGGAAAGCTATCTACAATCTCTTCCATGACAACAAGCATGCACGGGAGATGCAATTGGAACACCGCTTCCGCAATACCGTGAAAGGCAATCGATCTATCAACGAATATTGTCGCCTTCTCAAAAATCTCTCCGAATACCTTGATGATGTTGATGCTCCGGTGACCGAGCATGCTCTCGTTTTACAGGTTCTCCAAGGATTGCCACACGACATTCGTGGCCAAGTTCAATTTCTCGAGTACCAAAATCCTCTCCCCACTTTTCTGGAAGTCCGGTCCGCACTCCTCCTCGTCGAACAGCAACAATTAGACTCCATCCATGGCGCCGGCGCGTCGCCCACTGCCTTCCTAAGCACCGGCAGTGGCAGCGGCTTTGGGGCAGCGCACAGCGGCAAGACAGGGCGGACGGACGTGGTGGGAGCGGCGGATATGGCAGAGCTCCTGGCGGCGGCAGTGGTGGCGGCGGCAACCGCGGCAGGGGCCGCGGTCGAGGACGTGGCAGCGGTGGATCTCAGCGGCACCCATCGGGTCACTCAGCCTGGCAGTATCCCTCCCCCCAACCCAGTTTGCTTGGGCCCATGCCCTACAACCCAGCAGCCCAAGCCCATTTTACCCACAACCCCATTACCCAATTTCCCTCCTACCCACAAAATTCCCCCCTTACCCAAACCTACGGCCCATTCTCCTACTCCCTAGTCCACTACCCCCAGCCCACTCCAAATACCCTCACCCAACCCGCCCCACTTCACCACCCCACCCAACCCTACCGCTCTAGCCCACAGCCTCGAGAACCTCACCCTCACCCACACGAATCCCATCTGGTTCATGGACACCGGAGCATCCCACCATATCACCTCTGACCCAGGTACTTTATCTCATGTATTTTCTTCAAACATTA